TTAAAACTATTAGGTATATTCTATCAGACAATCAAAATAAAAGATGCAAAACTAGATAGCAAGCTACAAATTCAATAACAGATTAGGATCTGGATGCCAGAACCCAGAACATCCCAGATCCTATTAACATTCACCATCTATAGCCAGATGTATGATAATTACCCCTAAATCCATAAAAATAAAGACTGGATATCATCAATCACACTCAATTTCTATCATGTATTTTATCACCCAACTCCACCCCCCCCCCTTTTAAATACATCTCAAATGTGAAATGATTTTAAATATATTTTAGAGAGTAGAAAATATAAAATTTTATTTAATACGATACCTACAGGTTTGGTAATAATATTTAATTGCCTGTACACCTTTGACATAATACAAATAATTGTGAATACATACATACATATATATCAAAAGCCCAATAAATTTAGAAACATTCCATTGAAAATATTAGATTTACTACAGTAAATTAAATTATTAATAACTTCAATATTCAGTTTCTAGAACTATTAACCCTCTCTATCTGGGCTCGATCATTTTGACAAACCTTGCAACCCTGAAACTCTACAAATTATCACATTTAATGTAGTAAGTGTATCTTCACAAAATTTGGCAAGCTTTTAGTAAACTTTAGTAGAAATCTTGTAAAGATTTGTCAATGAATTTATGGAGTGAGGTTCAAGGCAGTTATTATGAGTGCAAGGTGATTTTCAAGTTAAGATTAAAAATACTTTTTCAAGTTACATTTGAATAACTTCTAGAAATTCCTAAATGAATATCAAGTTTTTTTCAGCAAAACTTTATATCTTATCAGTTATTTCTCTATTCAAACACTATCCCAGCTCAGTCCATTTGACCAACCTCGTAACCACCATAAAAAGAAATACAAACTAGCCTTTTTCTCTACAGAATACTGTAGACTGTAACAGAAAATTACAATAATTTATCCTAAATAGTCTCAGGCAAATAAGAGCTTAAACCTGTTTTTATAAAAAATGTTTATTGCTCTTTAAACTGTGTCTAACTACTAAACCTGGAAAAGAACTACATATCACCCAGCAAATGAAAGTTATGGTATTGAATTAAGTAATATGCAAGCTTTTCGTATGCATATTTTGCAGAAAATTTTTTTATTTAATTCTTTTCACTTATGTTTTCTTATGTAACCTAATAAGTTTATAATATCTACATTTGAGTTACTTTTATAAGACATATACATAAAAAAAACAAGAAATTTAGTACTTCTGTGTGCATCCTGTACTTTTTGTTAGGGTTATCATTAATACTTTAATGAATTTTTATTCATTTTAAATATTCATTTCAGAACACAAAATAACAGCATCCACAAATCATACAACATCCTATAACTATTATTTAACTGGCTTTTTAACTAAGTTATAAGTATGTTAAAAGTAATTCGTTTAGCTGGTCGAGCTGAATTCAGAGATAGCAACTTGAATCTGTATGCTGAATAACTGCAAAGTTGTCAAGAGAATGAGCCAGCATTCTACTTATATCAGTAAATTAAAATATTCTCTTCCATTGGTTTGTAACTAATTTAATAGCACACAATAGAATTATTGATATTTCTGACAGACAATATTTGAAAAGAGGGAGTGGCATGCAGGTTGGATGTTCTGGTTTATATTTATTTAAAACAAGATGACTGGAAGCTATAAAGTAAGATTTTATCATAGCAATATTGATAAGTTTTGTTTTTTGCATTAAATCTCAAAGGCATAAAAAGTGGCAGAAAGTTTATCTAAAATGTGGAAATCGGAACAAACAAGTGTCATGAGATATAGAACAAAAGGGAATCCTCAATAGCAACAGCACTTGAAATTCTTTTGAAATTTTGAATGGAACTGTAAAAAGATCATTACATGCACATTATTACCTACCCATATCCAAATGGTTACTATGCACAGCAAGTCATACAGAAGTGGAACCTTCCATTTTAAGTTTCTAGATCTCCATTTAATATTTCAAATTTTCCAATTTATTATACTTATTTGCAAATGGATAATCATTTTTTTACACAAATAAATGACAATGTTAGCAACTGTCACAAATTATTTTTTCCCCTTCTCTGTCTGTATATCAAAAAGCTAGTCAGGTTAGTAAATAAATATAAACAAAAACCCTTACTATCAGGAAATAAGGGAGTTTGAGGATAGGTAAATTAGTATTAAAAATCTCCATTTAACAAACTAAAATTTAGTTGAAGTGTTAACAAACTGCTCTATAAAATACAAAATGACAGTAACAATCAAAAAAAGGTTTTATGTAAATCAAATTGCACATTCTAAATCAAAACAAGTATTTCATACTACTTGATTATGTAAAATGTAAATACTCAACCCAAAAAACTGCAAGCACTGATATACCTCTCCATATATTTTAAAGGTACAAGTAGATTCTTCCAAATCAATGCCTGTGATGCCATCCAGTTTACGTGCATTCTGTATGTTGGCCCCATGAGCTCCAATAGCCAAACCCATTAAATCATCTCTAACCGTAAACTCTTCCACGTACCCAGAGGTAGAATGTAGTTTTGTGTTCTATAAGAAACAACATATTTGTAGAAAAAAAGAATAACATTTTAAAAATTTAGTGAACCCCATTTTTTATTATCAGTGAAGATTGGTATTTATTAATCACGTGAGATGGACTACATAAACATAATACCATTAAATTCTGGTACATTTAGCATTAAACTAATCATAGTTAAAATGAAAATGTAATCCTTACTGTATGACCAAAACAATCTATAATGAGATGTACCAATATGCATCTTTTTCATTAACAACTTGAAATTCTATCCACAAAATTTAATTGATAAGAATATATCACCAAGTTTAATGTGTAAATATTTTCTAAAAAAAAAAGACAAAATTACATTCAGTGCATAAAGTTTTTGTTCACAAGTCAAAATATTCATCAGACCACTGAAGTCATAACCCATTTCATAGAATTCTCTCTTACAATCAAGTATTCTACAGTTTGTTTTCTGTAGCTACAGTATAGTTTGATGTTTATCATACTGCAATATTTTTTTTTAATTTACTACTATAACCTGTATAGTTTATCAATGATATTTATTTTAAAAATAAAAATAAGTAAAGGGTTAGTTTTGCTCCAGCTTACCTCTAACTGTCGAGCAGCTTCTTCAGTTCTATGGACTAAAAGTACTTTCTGTCTTAAGTTTCGAAAATGCATTTCTATTAACAAACTTGCTCTTTTCCTTGTGTCCTCTGATCTTCCCTAATAAAATGCATGTAAAATCTGTTAACCTATTTATGTTTCAACATCACTGGAACCATTAAAAAAGCAATAATAAATTGAAAGTTGTACATGATCATGTTTCACTATTAGACAAAATGTTGTACCCAAATAAATCTATTATGCTACCAATTAGCAGTTTCAAATTCTTTATATATGTTTGATAATTAAGTGGATACCATTTAAAAGAAGTAATAAATTATAATTATATTATGTGGTACCTATCATAAGAATTTTCTGAATAGTTTCTGTTTTGTAATAAATAGTTGTTGATTATTCTTTTTAGTACTGTCACTTTTTTAACAATTTGGATAATATTTAAAAGGCTTAATGAGTTTGGTATTGTTCAATCTAAATAATGAACATCATTTACTAGTGTATTAATTTATGTAGGACAGTGAGATTAGCAAATAGAATTGACTAAATAAACTTTAAAATCCTGTAAGATGGGAACTTTGATGAATTGGTCAGGTAAACTTTAAAACCTATAACATAAAAGTTGTTACAGTTCAGTTATTCATGTTTCTTATTTCTCAATAAGCCTCAAGTCATCTGGTATATCCAACAATAATATTTGAGGTTATTTTATAAACTCAACACATCTAATCATATTATAATAAGAAAACAAAAGTTTTAACTCTTTAAAACTATTACGTGTAACACTAATAACTTAAAATGTGATTTATATATATACATATCAAAATAATCTTTACTTACAATAATCACTAAAACATTTTTTTCTGGATTAAACCTAACAATGTCAGCACCAATAGCTTTCTTGTACTCCTTATGGGCATTTTCTACTTTGGAGCTAAAAACAAAAAGTATCATATTAGAGGCAAATAGTTGCACTACCCAATTTCAGAGAACTAAACTTCCTGATTCTTATGTATTCCTACATTCTCTGAAAACTTTCCTCTAAAAAAATTTTTTTTTATTAAACTCTAAATTTTATATTTGTTTTGATTCGAAAAATACTTATGCAACTTCCCTGTGTTTATGATCACTGGCATAAAATAAACTTTTTTTTTAACCATTCCAAAATTACAAGAAACACAGATTTTTGTTTTTAAATATATTCATTAAAAGGTTTCATTTAACATGGGTAAGATATCTTAAACCTGTTTTATATTCATTTACCTATATATTTTGCATTTCTTTTTTTTTTTTTTGGCAATTTTCTTTGCCAATTCAATAATTACTTAAAACAATAAGACATAATGTAAACACAGTTTCACAACTCATTTTTGCTGATTAAATACAACTTGATAGTCAAGTACAAAAAGATTGTGTACTTTTCTCATTTTGTTCCATGAAATAAATATATCTTCCTATCATACTGTAAGACCATAATCATAATAAAGTATACCATCATAAAGCAAGCCTTTTTTACCAGTTTAAAAAAATTAATCAGTAGCATGTCTCTAATCTATACTCTTATCACTTTGTTCCCACATTTATATGAATTTCCACTTAAATTAAAGAGATATTAGCTTTTACTTGTTTGCAAAACTACTCAAGGGCGAACTGCACTACCAGTCCCTAATATTGAACTGAGAGACTAAAGGGAAGGTAACTAGCCAACACCACTCACTGCCACCTCATGAGCTACTCTAATTGAACAGTGTTTTTTGACCACCACTCTTATAATGCAACCACAATCTCAAATGAGCTGCACTTGGTTCTTACTTATCAGTTGAAAAGAACAGAAAAAGAGGATTTCAATAAATGCTTAGATCCTAGTATATGACTTCTCAAGGCTGAGATATAAACAATTCCATCACATCATGACAACCAAGGTTGAGAAACAGTGATTGGCTAAGGTCACTAAAAATTATACTCGCATTGAATTTACAAGTTTAAATTAGCAATACTTGGTTCAAACTTATTACCTCAATTCTTGGCTCAAACTTATTATCTCAATACTTGGTTCAAACTTATTACCTCAATACTTGGTTCAAACTTATTATCTCAATATTTGGTTCAAACTTATTATCTCAATATTTGGTTCAAACTTATTATCTCAATATTTGGTTTAAACTTATTACCTCAATTCTTGGTTCAAACTTATTAACTCAATACTTGGTTCAAACTTATTATCTCAATATTTGGTTTAAACTTATTATCTCAATATTTGGTTTGAACTTATTACCTCAATTCTTGGTTTAAACTTATTACCACAATTCTTGGTTTAAACTTACCTCAATTCTTGGTTCAAACTTATTAACTCAATACTTGGTTCAAACTTATTAACTCAATACTTGGTTCAAACTTATTAACTCAATACTTGGTTCAAACTTATTATCTCAATTGGAGATGGAGGTGGACTACAAATGCCATATTATGATAAAAAAATTCAGGAAATTCATAAACCCTAATTTTTTAAATATTTTATTTATAAAATTAGATAAATAATTTTACTGAATAAATTTCAACTTTGAAGTTGCTTTTATCATAACATGTGGAAGAACAACTACAAGTTTATTTTCTATACTTTTTTAATTCAACTACTCCATTTTTCCTTTAGGTGGGATTAATCCATCTGGGAATGATAATATAAAGTTAGCCCTATAATTACTAGCATGATCCATGTTAACCCCATCAGTATTCAAAACCTTTTCTAAACAATTCATGCACCACGTTGCTTGTGAATCCACGACTTTACTAATTCAGAGTTCTTAATAAAATATGTACCTCAAAAAAAATCTAAACAAAATTACTTTTAATATTGCAATTAATTCTACTAATAACTACAAGAGTTTCCTATGCGTTTTTTTAGACAGAAGTTAAGTGATTAACTCAATTTTCTTGGTTTGTTCTTTACAACAGATGTTATAACAGGCACAATATAAAATTACTCAATATGATGCAATATTTGGACCACACTGAGTAATTTGAAGTTTAACTCATTCAGCACAGACTCGGTCCCCGAGACCAGCCTTGTAAATATTGTGCTTCTTATAGTTTTCATGTTATAGCTTTTAAATTAGTAAGCATATATTAATGAAATTTGGAAGATTATCAGTAAACATTACAATGCTTTCATATGCAAAATAACATTTTTATTAAGTCTTAAGGTTCATTAAGCAATATTTTTCTCATGCCTTTTTTCCTTTTTGCATGTTGCCTATCCAACGTGTAAAGTAATTTTAAGTTTAAGTTTAAAAATACTTTTATGCATCAGAAAATTTTCATATTTCACATGCAAAATCTTTATAATGTTCAGATGGTTATCAAATGTTTTTTAAGAAAAAACTTTATATTTTATCTGTTATTTTCACTAACGAATCTCTGTATGGGTTCTGTAGATTTGACCGATCTTGTAACCACCATAAAAAATTAGGAAATAAATATAAGTTATGCCTCTTTCATTCTAGAATGACAACAAATTATAACACAAAACATAGCTGTTTAGATTAAATAGCTTAAATCTCATAACATTATATATTTATTATATTGACCCTTCAACTGTACCTGGCTAACAATACAGCAGTTACAATGTTGTGGCACATGTGCTCTCATATCCAATAATAT